TTCACTTTTGATAGCAGAGTCCTCCACAGACCTGCGTGGCCAGACAGGACCGCCTTCGAATTCGAGATACATGTTGTTTCCTTTGGCACCTGATATTTGCATTTGGATACCTGTGGTTACTGTCCTGTTGCCTTCTATTCTCTACTGAGCTTCCTTCCTCCATAACTCCATCGTGACTGTGCTTAGTAGTCCTTCGGTTGCACCTAGTGCTTAAGCAAACTGGAGGCTTGCAATGGCTAGGACATGGAAGGTTTCTTGTCTGAGTAATTTATGCATCTTCCACTTGGCTGCAGCCTAGTCTAACTGGCCAAGTAAATAAACTGCAGCATCCTGCAGTATGTTCCCCGCACAGCATCCATAAGGTTTCCTTCTTTTATTTCTCCCTTACTTTATTTAACTGGTGCTAAGTATTTATCATTCACCCTTAAAAAGGAAGCGAGCCTGTAATTTGACACCATATGGAAGGCACTGGAGGACATTATGCTAGTTCAGACAAGGGAAGAAAGATACTGCATGTACTTACTTACATGTGAAATCTTAAAAGTAATAGGTCACATGCATAGAAAAAGGCTAGTTGCCAGGCTTGGTAGGAAGAAACAGGGAGATGTAGGTATAGAATAGAGAAAATGAGTTACCTGCAATTGCATCAGCAGGGGCCCATCTCAAAAATCCCGTTGAAAGGAGAGTGTGCACGGTGAACACATCTAAAAAGCTGAGACTGTTACTAACAGGGGTATTTTGTACTCAGCATGTTTGCTAAATTAGTGTAACTGTGCTTATAATAAGAAAAATGGGTAACTGAGATAACAGATGCTGTATTTACATGTCTTACAGCTTCATGTTGTACATCTTAAGTGTATTTAATAAAAGTTGCTTCTAGTTTTCCTTATTATAAAATATAGCACATATAACAGAGTATATGTACAAATAGCCCAGACTAATAGATTAAAACATTTCCTTTATATCAAGTTTAAAATTGATCAAATATGTCAAATGTGCAGTGGATGACTCCCAACATCTCTTCTTCTTTGCCTTAACTTAATGTGAGTTATTTATTTTCATGTTACATAAATTGCCTTCATTTTCATAGAAATAATGCATATATACCAAGTGTGTATTGCTAATTTTTAAATAGTAAATATTATTATTTTTTAAGATTTATTTATTTGGAAGGCAGAGTGAAATAGAGAGAGAGGGAGGGAGGGAAGGAGGGAGAAGAAAAGAGAGAGAGAGAGAACAAACTTCTGTTTGTTGGTTTACTCCCCAAATGTTTGCAATAACCAGTTCTGGGCCAGGTCAAAGCCACAGTCCAGGAAGCACATCCAGACCTTGCCACGTGAGCAGCAGGAGCCAAGGCCCTTGGGACGTAATTAGGAAGCTGGGTCAGAATTGGAGAAGCTGGATGTGACCATCACTCTGAATGTACTCTGAGTGGCATTGTAAGTACAGTCTCAGCCCGGTTCTCCAACGTGCTGGCTCCCTCGGTAATAGAAGCTTTGAGATTTATCCCTGCTGTTACCTCTAGTTCTAGATCACTCCTTTTATCTACTGTACATTTACTTACCCCCACTACTTGATACTAGATATTTGGATTGTATTTGATGCAATAGGATATAATGCTTGGCTACAGACAAAAGCTGTAAGGGTCATGCATGTTTTCTTAATACTGTGCACATCTGGTAGGAATCCCCTGGAGTGCTGCAGGCTTTGTTGCTGGGATTGTTCTACACAGGTCTGTGTCTTTGCCACTCCTAGGCTTCTGTTTAAGAATTCCCTGAACCGAGTTTACATTTGCTTTAGCAACATGCAAAGTTCCCATTTTGCCACATCGTTATCCAAAATAGTGGTTATCACAACTGTTTTGACCAAACCATCTCATTTTTCTTCACTTTACTTTGCCTCCGTGGCTAGGGAGATTTGGCGTAAGTTTGCATGGTTTGGGGAAATTCATTATTTACCTTGTATGAATTGCTCAACCCTGTTCTTTCAAAATGACTTTTGGGGTGTGTGTGTAAACATGCATGAATATGAGCTGTCAATTCTTTCACATTGATTTTTTTTTTTTTGATCCTGCATGTTGTATTTAAGGCAGATACAGGTACATCATTTGGCTTGGTACTGATGGATCTTCAACAGGTTACAGTTGAATACTTATCTGCTGCTTCATATTTCTACAACGTTTTATTTAATCCTATGTTCACGTGACAGTTGTCATTCATTGTGAATAAATTGTTTTGAACTGTTTTAAGTATTTGTTTATTGATTTTGTTTTCCTATTTGAAACACTGATGTGTGTCCATCTACCAGTCTACTTGGCCCACAATGGCCGAGAGTGGGCTGGTTGAAAATTAGGACCTGAAAATTCAGGAGAGGCTCCAACGTGGTGGGGGGATCCCAGCTACCGGTGCCATCATGAGAGCCGTGGTGGCCTGCGTTAGCAGAAAACTGGATTTGGGAGCTAGAGATTCTGCAAAATTGCTTAACCAACATAGGCTTCTAAACTACTGGACTGCATACTTCTCTCAGTTCATAGTAGAATTATTCTGTTTTTCAAGGTTTTTTTGGTTCCTTTTGTATTGTGATACGTGATTTCTTATTTACTGAGTTGTCTTTATTCTTTGCATTATTCTGGATGTGAACATTGTAAGTCCATTATTTCAATAATTTTCTTGAATAGTCACAACTGTAAAAGAGCTAAAGTGAATCAGTATTGGATAGATAACTGATTTTCTAACTGCCAAAAGAAAAGAAAAGAAAAGAAAATACCACACATACTTTTACTGTTTTCTAAAGTCAGACATCATTTTCCCATGTAGCTTTTTCTTCACATTTTTCTAGCTCTCTCCCAGATCGCTTGTTACTCTGTTCGTGTTTATACTGGATGCTGATTTTCATTCATGTGTATACTGCTTTCTTTATTCATCCTTGCCTCCCAGTCTTCCCTACCCACGTTTCCTGTCCGTGCTGAACTGTCACTCGCCAGTCCTTGCAAGCTGAACTGGAAGATGCAGATTCAGTCATTATTTTCCAAACTTGCCAGTTTTCTCCACTTTGACCTGAGTTAAACTGCAGAATAAGTCCATGTCTTTTTTTCCAGTCTTAAACCCATTTCTATTTTTCTTGGAGGGGTGGTCTTCATCACCTCTGAGAAAATCTCCCATGAGCCTACTTTTCATTGCTCTATACATTTGGTGTCTTTCTGTTGTGGTGTTTTTGTGTTTTGCGGTTTCATTGTGGTATGTCTGGGGAAAGGTTTGGTTTGTATTTTCCTGTTGAAGCTCTTGTGTACTCTGACTAGAGGATACATTGGTTTTCAGAAACCCTTGCCATCTGCCTCTCTGAATCTGGCTTCTCTCACGTCTTGAGTTCTTACAAGCACGTGGCATTTTGGGGCCGGGGGAGGAGTTGAGGGGGAGGAATCTTACAACCCAAGGGCTCTCCCAGTCTGAACTGCTGTTTGAAATCACCAGCTCTTTTCTCAAAATGCCAGTACTTAAGAGAGGTTTTTAAATCATTTACTGAAGCACCCTCTTCACGTCTTCATCCAAGGACCTCATCAGGCTCTTCTCTGGGGGGACTAGACACCACCCCCCTTTCTCTGGTCCACCAGGCTCATCCTTCAAGATGGTCCTGCCCACAGGCTCTACCCACAGAGTCCTGCTTTCTCACAGCACCCCGGATGCCCAAGAGCACGTGGAGCTATTGCGTTTTTATAATTGCTTGTCTCAGGACCAGACATTAGGCCCTTCCACTGTAGCTCCTGCTGCTTGGTAGCCGAGTTTTATGTCTGCTTTGTGTATTCCTGGCATTTTCATGGGACTCAGGACATGATTACATAGAGACTGAAGCCAGTCAGGAACTATGAACCCATCATGGGTGACGGCAGTATGTATTCATACCTGCAAATAAGCTTTGCTCCTCCGCTTCCTCAAAGGACCATCCTCTGTTTAGTTGCGTATGTTTTACGTGACTAAAGACCGGGGTGGAAAGTTCCCAGTTCCATTGCTGTCCATGCATCTCTTCTTTAGACATCTGGTCCCTGGCAGCCCTGATGCTCTATGTTACCACTGGCTTCTAGTATGCATTGCCAAAGTCATATCATCTCCAAAAATCCAGCGCAAAAGCACATGCTTTTGTCCATGCTTGAATTGACTGAAAGAAGACATGTCCTGTGATGCAGCTACTCACCCAGTGTTTGCTGTGCTCCTGATCAGCAGCAGGTGGTCATTCATATTATCATTCAGAAGAGGAACCTCATCCCAATAAACATACCAACTACTAAGCCTGGCGTTTAAATTATAAGAGATTCCTGGTGATGGTTCATTCATTCATGGCTGATTTCAGGAGGCTAGGGAAGCCTGGCTTGATGGCAATGCTATTTAGGAGCTAACTGGAGAAACAACTGAGGTGAGAGCATTTGCAGGAGGATCGTTCACATGTGCAAGCATCCTATGGCAGGAAGCCGGTTGGCCATTAAAAGAGCATAGAACAAGGCCAGGGTGATTTGAAAGCGTAAAAAAAAAAAAAAAGAACACGACTTAGTGGACTGAAGATGGAAAGTTATTTTAGGAATACGTGCTTGTGGACTGATTTCAAGGCTTAGACAGTTGCGTGTTTCAAAAATACCATCATTATTAACATCAGATTATCTGACTCCTGGATGCGATCTTCTTTCCACTTGCAGAAGAGGAGGCAGCTCCTCTGATTTTCAAAACTCAGTTCTAGTTTTGCAGCAGAGGCCCACCTTTAGTGGACCCAACAGGGTCAGACCTGGACATGGTGTTCTGTGCAGCTGGAGCCGTGTCACCGAGTGGGAGGCCTTGGTGTGGCAGTGGCCCCTGTGTCCTTTGCTTGGGTGAAGCATGAAGCAGCCCTGGAATGCACAGCTCACAATCCGTCAAGGATGCTGAGGCAGGTGACAACCAGAAAGAAAGGAAGTGTATCTTGTCTCTTGTGCTTTGGGCTGTTCTTCAACACAGTTACCTTGTCCTTTTCACCAGGTGGTTGACCAGATTGATACCTTGACCTCTGACCTACAGCTGGAGGATGAGATGACCGACAGCTCCAAAACAGACACGCTGAACAGCAGCTCAAGTGGCACCACAGCTTCCAGCATCGAGAAGATCAAAGTGCAGGCCAATGCACCCCTCATTAGAAACTCCCCTCACCCATCTGCCATCCTCACGGTCCTGAGAAAGCCGAACCCTCCACCGCCACCTCCACGGTTGACACCTGTGAAGTGTGAAGAACCCCCACGGCCATTGCCAACAGCGAATCCCATGAAAACCAATGGCACGCTGCTGAGAAACGGAGGGGTGCCAGGTGGACCTCACCGAATACCCAATGGAGACCTCTGCTGTATACCCAACAGTAACCTGGACAAGACTCCTGGGCAGCCTCTGATGCATAGACCAGAAAAGGACAGGTGTCCCCAGGCAGGGCCTAGGGAACGAGTCCGGTTTAACGAAAAAGTGCAGTACCATGGCTACTGCCCTGACTGTGACACCCGGTATAACATAAAAAACAGGGAGGTCCACCTACACAGTGAACCTGTCCACCCACCGGGCAAGATCCCTCCCCAAGGTTCTCCCCTCCCTCCTCCACCCCACCTGCCTCCTTTTCCACTAGAAAATGGGGGCCTGGGAATAAGCCACAGTAACAGCTTCCCCCCTCTGAGACCTGCACCTGTGCCTCCTCCCACTGCACCAAAACCACAGAAGACCATCTTGAGGAAGTCAACCACCACCACAGTGTGACATATGCCATTGAAAAAAAAACAGCTTTTATTTTATTTTCTGTTATAAACAAAATAATAAGTAATCAGCACTTTCTACGCAAGCAATAAAAAGCCCAAATATATTAATCCTGCATTCAGCAAAGTGGCATTAAAAAAAATTCTGGTAAGTATGCAGTACATTGCTTATATCCTGGGTATACATTATTCTAAATGCATCATCAAAAACCACAGAATGAGGAAAAATCTGAATGCACTGGTTTTGTGATGGACTTGTGACATACTGCCATCTGCAGATTTAAAATGTTTTAATTCACTGCAAGAGATGGGATTTGATTCGTTTTACTCATGCCCAACACATCTATGCATTGGAACCACATCAGTCTCTTTCTCTTTGGTCTAATGCTTTTTAATAAGAAGTTTTAATACTGGAGGACTATTTTACTATTTTTTTCTAAAGATGCCTGTCACTAGTTTTGCATAATTAAATGCTGAGAATAATATCAAAAAGATTATTTTCTATACTATCCAATCATGGATTATATGTTCAGCTCTGTGTGTAATAAAATGTTTTGGTCCTTGGAAATGCCATTATGTCAATAAACAATAGGATTTAATGGAGAAACCGAATGTTCCTTGGAATTAAACTCAATTGGTTGCTTATTTCATGCTATCCTATTGTTCAGCACAATGAGAAGCGACTCTGCAGGAAATGGAGAGGATCACAGTGAGGCTGTGACAGAATCTCCTACATTAGGTAGCCTAGTCCATGGTTCAGGTAGAGCTTTGCTCATTTGCACGTTATATTCCTCCATTTGAATCTTCAAGAAACTATGGATTCTTCCCTCCCTCCCATACTCCCTTGAGCCCTCCCCTCTCATTCAACATTTTTCAGGATACACCGCACCACGCCTCCCTGAAGGAAACCACAATTCTAGGAGCATTACAAGGCAGAATACAGATATAGTAGGATGTGTTCAGCGTCAGCCTTAAGATTCCCCCCCCCCTTATGACTGAAACATGGCAGGATTCCTTGCTGTTCCATAAGCGATGGGGGACTCTCCTCCAGATACCAAATAAAAAGTCCTTCTCTTCAGTTTCACTTGCCAGTAGAGAAAACTTATCCACCCTCGAGCCAAGTTCAGTTCTCAACTACAATGATTTCAACTGAAATGTTTTGCTCAGAAGTTGGAAAAGAATTTAACTCCCTTGGATTCCTGATGAAAGAGGTGCCTGAACCACGTTGGTGCATTAAAATCAAAAGTAGAGATGGTCATCTTACTAGAGATACGTTTTCTGTGTAACTTGATGAAGAGTGCAGTAACATTTTTGAATGTTTGACTTTTGCTGTCAAAATTTAACATTTTACTGCTGCAAAAGGTGTTACCAATATTGTTTACATTTTTGGTTTTTTGGCTCTCTGACTATGTCACAGTAATTTGGAGCACAGTTTTTAAACAACTTCCTACTAAAAATAACATATTTTAGATAGGATACAGAGCAGAGATGCTTTATTTTTTTTTTAAGGGACAGTTCAATGAGTAAAAACGAAAAGATGTCAAATTAAACATTTTACTCTCCAAACTTTCATTGCATGACCCAGACATGAAGATAATGCAAAGCCAACTTTGGAGAGTGTTACAAAACATGACAGATCAATCCCATGATCTAAAATTTATCAACTGAACTTTTAGTATGTTTAACGGATATGGTCCAGATATATAAATAAAAAAATTGACTTGTTGAGTATTGAAATAATGTGGTCTTTTTAATGCATGCATTAATTTTGGTGTCAGTAAACCCCGGGTTTCATCGTGTTTCTTGATTTAAATAGTTTCTTGTTTTTATATGTCTGTCAACTACACTGGGACATTTGAGATGACGAAGAGTTCTAACGAGCAGTTCTCTCCAAAAGCTGTCTCTCTGCAGCCGATTACTGTGACCCTATGGTTAGAGACTTTGTTGTCACTGTGTGGAAACCAAGCTGTGTCTCAACGTAGAACTTTCTGGCACCTGCTTGCCACCCACAGACCAAAGCATGCAGAACAGGTTTCAGCTTTCATGTTGATTGTATGTCCTTGGAGTCACACACCAAGAAACCTGAGGGGTCCAAATCTGTCTCCTTTTCTCAAATCATGGGCCAAACGACTTGACAAAAGACTGCCGCTCTCGGTGGTGACAGGAGATGATAGCTGAAGTACTTAGGCCCTTGGCTCTGATGTCAGTGATTTGGGAAATGGTCTTAGTTCCTGACTGCAGCCAGACCAGGCTATCGAATAAACCAACATATCAATGATTCTCTCTGCCTTTCACATGAACATAAGTAAATCTTTAAAGCACATTTAAAAGGAAATGCTTTTGTAACTCCATCCTTTAATACCGTATTGGTATAGTTAAAGCATTTTGTGGTGGAGTTACAAATGTGTGCTCAGTATTTGATGAGGAAAGTAATAAGGCACAGTAATAGATGGCTTTCTTTGGATGAATCAGTGGTCGCCTTTCAACAGCCATAGTATATAAGGCTTACATCTGCAGAGTCTAATTTTAGCACCCCCCCCCCCTATTTTTGTACTTCATGGAGAAAAAGCCTGAGCAGTTCTACATATAGTTGTGCTGGGAATGGTTTTACCAAGTCATGAATCACTACCTTGACTCATTTTTGCCACAGGGGTCCTATACAGGAACAAAAGCCAAGTTCTGTTATTATCCTGACAGTTCTGCTTCTTACTCTTGACTCTCTGCTGATAGTTTTGTGATAAAAAAAAAACTCTTAAGTTTTAACAGATTGCATTATGTGATGAAATACTGCTATGTTCTAAGTGAAGAAATGAGGTATGAGCCATAAACTTCTGTTACATAATTGTATGAAGTGCAAAGATTTTGGCAGTTTCTAAACACTGTGACAAAACTGCATGACATTTTCTGGGTCATTGAGTACCTAGGACACTATAACTCTTTAGACACATTGTTACTTTTAGAATCACTGAAATTGTATGATTCTGAAATAATGGCAGTTGTATATATCGTCATTAGGGTACCACAACAGTGTTGAAAATAAAACCCAAATTACCTACAGTTACATATGTTGGTGGAGCAGTATTTATGTGAGATATTTCATGTAAATCACTTGGGTTTTCTCATTCTGATAATGTGGGAGAAGTAAGTGAAACATAGGGTTGGAAAAGATCCTCAATAGAAAATTCAACGTAATGAACATGGGGTATAGAATTCCATTAAGGTTAAGGGAAAGTGGGAATGGGGAATGATTCTGATACTGTAATTGTTAACTTCTAGATTATTCAAGTTAGGTAGACTAATGGAGTAGCGTTTCTATGTTATTAATGTATAGAATAGTTGTTAATCTTAGAAATACAGGACCCTAATTTTAATATTATGCTGAAAATGGAAACCCTAGTATGTCTGGGCTATGCTTGCTTCATGTCCCAGGATATTTCTTCTAGAAACATCAGCATTTACTTGTACTCTTCATAACCCTGAACTCTGGAAATGTTTCCTTTATTCTGAGCAGCTATTTTGACGCTTGAAAGGGGTTACCTAATGTTATTTTGACATTCTTAATGTGTTTGATCTTTACAGGATACAAAAGGGATTTCAGGCAATTTAGCTACCATCTAAAATGAATGAGCTGCTGAATAATGCTGGCCTCATTTATTTTTTCCTGCTTTGTAGCAACAGTTTCATGTTTCTCCCCTAGTCCTAAGTCCATGGACAATATTTTGGGACTTTTTTTTCCCCTGAGAATTTCTCTAGTGATGTCATTCACCCTGAATGAGTTCCCATCACTCACTGTTGTTTCGTTTACAAATTTCTGTGTAACAATGACTTTCACAGAACTGTCTTTGATAAAAAGTGTTTGCATCATTTTGAGTTAGTCTGTAGATACGGTTTTACAGCATCTTATTAATTCAATTATCAATTCTTCCAACTAGGAAGGGGAATTTGGGACTAGTTCATTGCAGCATCGTTTACCACGATGGCATTATGACTCATGGTGGCAGATGTAATTTCTGGCCCATAACAAGGGCTTGCTTTATGCCCAACACTTTTCTTTTTTGCACAAATTATTTGTGCCTCAAAGCATGATCTCCTCCCTCCTAATATCACTGTGTTGATCCACCCCAGTGGGAGAGGGAACTGGCTGTCTAGCTTGTGAGAAAAGTAAGTTTATTCCTTGGTGGTTGAGCTTGTAGTAGTCTCCCCATGGTGGTAACAGATCTCTGCATGTCTTAGAGCAGTCCAGGTTCTGTTGTCCTCACTGTGAGAGATGCTCTATGGCTGGAATCCTCCAAGCATGGAGTTAGCAGTCCAGAAGTGGTGAGACCCTGCGGTAGAGGAAGAGCTGACCAAAGAGCTCTTCAGGTGTCTCTCCCTCAGTGCTATAGCCCAGACTCGCCACATGCCCCTCCCCATAGTCTCCATATACCCAGGAAGAGAATATGCTCACCTGTGAGGAAGTTAAGGTTGGGCTACCACATTTCCAAAGAAATAATAGGAAAATACTATTTGTAAAATTCAGTAAACATAGTGTCTGTGGAATACCAGGTGATGCGATTTGTGTGTACATTGTGTAATGTCCACAGGGACAAATGTGTATCCCAGCAAACCTTTAACATATCTTTATGATGATAACATCCAAAATTTGATCTACTAGGTTTTTTTTTTTTTTTTAAGAGGGAGAAATACATAGTGTGTTATCTACACCACTGGTCTGTACCATGGAACCCAGGACTTCTCACAACTGTGTTATTTTGATTTGCATCTGTGATTTAACCCTTCCAGTCTCCTTTCCTCCCTAGCCTTTGCTAACGACAGTTGCACCCTTAACTTCCATAAAATTGGCGATTTTAGACTCTGTCGGAGATATCACGTGGCTCTTGGCTTTCTGCAGCTGGTGGTTTTCACTGAATGAGCTCTGTATTTTTGCAAATGCACCTATACTTTTTAAAAAAGATTTATTTATTTTTATTGGAAAGGCAGATATACAGAGAAGAGGAGAGACAGAGAGGAAGATCTTCTGTCCGATGGTTCACTCCCCAAGCGGCCACAACGGCTAGAGCTGAGCCAATCCGAAGCCAGGACCTAGAAGCCAGGAGCTTCCTCCAGGTCTCCCATGCAGGTACAGGGTCCCAAAGCTTTGGGCTGTCCTCGACTGCTTTCCCAGGTCACAAGCAGGGAGCTGGATGGGAAGCAGGGCCACCGGGATTAGATTAGAACTGGT